GGCCGAGCTAGGGTATCTGTATCCCCTTCGGGACAGCCTCTTGCAGGATATCGAGGGAAAGAGGCGAGGCGTTATCCGCGACTCGAGGAGTCGGTCGCGCACGGGTTTGTTGATGAGCTGGGAGTGAAAACTCACTCCCGGTGGGCTGCCGACCTTCCAACTCGGCAATTCTGCGTTTGAGGGCCGCGACTTCCTCCGTGTCGTGGCCGATGGCTTTGCCCCGCCTGATCACCTCCCGGAGGTCTTGGTTGGCGTGGCTCTTGTCACCCAGGCGCTGGTGAACAGAGCGACGAACGACCGGGAGGCTTCGCTCCGGCCGGCTCTCCCCTGTCTGTTCCGTGGAAGCCGGTCTGGTACTCCTGTCGCGGCGGTTCTGGGCCTCACGGTTCGGCGATTGGGCCGTGGTTTTGGACTTCGCCGGGTTCCTCTGTCCACCGGTCTCCTTTTCAGGAGTGTGGAGCAATGTGTTACCGGGGTTCTCCGTGGGCACTACAGTGTTTGCCCCGGCGTTTTGACTGGCGAGGGCCTTGGTGAAGTCCCCCTCGAGGGCTTTGAGGACGTCGGGGTGCTGCAAAGCCGCAGCGAAAGTAGGAACTGGGGGTACGGGGACGATGGGCCCCTGCTGAATGCGACGGGAGGACTCCCCGCCGTTGAGGCGGCGAGGCTGGGAGCCGGACTGCTGGGTGGAATCGTCATGTCCAGATGAAGGCATTTTGAGCGGTTTTTAGAAGCGAAGAAGTGGGGAAAAAGATGAGCGTGGTGTGGAGTTTTACAAGATCGAAAAGTTGACACCAAATAACTTATGATGCCCTCCTTCTAGCGCCAAACTGTTGACGGACGTTTCCGGTCAACGGTTAAAAAGGTAAATAATAGAAAAGGAAATAATGTAAAGACAAGGAAATACGGTTTGATTGCGGTTTTATTGATAGATCGCGAGGTCGGCCTCTCGTACGAGGTCGGCACTTGCAATATCCTTACAAATTATTACAGAGTAATCACACGAGTTTTTAGAGAGAGGAAGTAGAGAGAGATAGCTTTTACAGTTGGGATTCAACAACCCAAAATAAATGAGAAGGGTTGCTATTTATAGTAGCCTTAAATGTGGCACTGTTCAGGTACTGTTCATCAGTCTTGTCGCACAGTGTTTCTGCAGGACAGTCCGGCGCCTCCCTGACAGCATTAAATGCGATTTGAGGTTTTCCTCATCATTAGGTGACAGACATTTAATGCTGGCAGGCTTTATGTCTTAGCTAAGAGGAGTAGGTCAGCAGACTATGATGTCCCATCCATTTAGCCAATGATTGTCCTCCAAGTGGCATTATTATACCATTATAGAGATCGGCATTCTCCGTTGTAGAGGCCCGCTCTGGACCCCAAGTCGGCACCTCGGCATCTTACCTTCATCTGTTCCCCTGGTCCTGGGGAATCTTTCTTTCAGTCCGTCATTTTTCAGCCCGGCACCCGTGGCGTCGTAACCGAAAATACCGAACTGACGAATGGTCTCACGGCGATGCCAGGGTCAAAAAGTTTTTCGGTCCAGCTCGGCACTCTATGGGTGGACCGGATCTCTGGTTCGGCTCTCGGAACCTGTCCGGTTCGGTCTTATCGGCGAACTCGGATGTCAACAAATACACCCAATCTCATTAATAATAAAATATTTCATTACACTTTTTTGGGTTAATTAAGACAAAAAATTATTATATTTTATGTTAATTATATTTTTTGATTGAATCATATAATAGCTTATTAAAATTAGTAATTATATTTTATACTAAATAATATATGAAATTTTACATAAAATTATATTTTACACTAAAATCAATATTTTTTTTTATATGATGAAGCGATTGTTTATTAATAAATTAATATTTTTATGTCATAGTAAAATTTCTTAAAATCACATAAGCAATTGCTATAATACATGTAATATTTTTCAGCTAATTAATTGGTCATGATCACTCAAAATTATAAACAATATATATTTATTATATTTTATGTAATCAATATAGTGATTCGTGTACAATCAAAATGTATGTACTATTTATTTTAACCAATGATCAAATTTTAAAATATAATAATATTATCTCATTTATAATTGTAATATTATATGCATAAATATAACTTATAATACTATATGTTTGAAATATAATACTATTATTTAACTTTTAATTTTTATATTATATGCATACAAATAACTTATAATATTTAATTTTATTATATCTGTGCACAGAATCGAATACTAGTATATATAATTATTAGCTGATGCATTTAAGAAAACTTTTTATATTATATCTAGCTGGCAAATCCCACCAAAAGACGTTACTGTTCACGTAATTTTTATTTTTTTATTTTTTTATTACACAAATGGATCATGTTTGCATATAGTTTGACTGTGCTAAAATTGGCCACAAATCTCATTTACTTTTCAATGATCTAGCTATTACAAATCATGAAAACTATCCCAGTTTTTTTTAAACAATTTACTTAGTGTCCACAATTATCAATAATCATTTTTTTACTCTAAAAACATTTTTATATAATTATTTTATTTTTTAAATACATCATAAATTATTAATAAATATTAATGAGAACAAAAAGTGGATAAATAACAGAAAATACAACATATCATAACTGCGAAAAAAATTAAAGATCAACATATAATATACCACCAAATGAATTACTTATAATTATCAAATTGAGCCGTTCCAAATGTGGAAATGAGGCTAGAAAATACAACTAAAAAATAGGATAATATTTAAGATAAATGTGGCACAGAATCTGGAATTAACTCTAAAAATTCAATAATAAATGTGGCACAGAATTTGGAATTAACAGTCAAGGAACAATTATTTGTGTCAGTCAAAGAATAAAGTATTATCTAGACTTTATTTTTCAAACTTTGATATCCCATGATTATTGCACATTATGTATATACCTATTAATATCAAATAACACATATGACTGAAAATGACGGAAACAAAAATTACAATTCTACTTGGCAGTCAAAGCAAAAATTATTATCTAAAAATATATATTTCCAATATTCAATCAATCAAAATTTATTTATATTGATTGCTTTTTTTCTAAATCCTTATAAATACTCAAATAATTATTCAAAAACACTCATTCCACTCATTCCAACTCTAGCTGAAGTAACCCGAGCCAAACAATTCTCATATCCTCCAATTTTAATTTTTTTTTCAACAATCAACATGAGTTCCCAATTTGATATAATTTGACATCCTTGGCAAAAAATAAGAACATGACCGCAAAGCTCCGATTGGCCAGAAATTATCCCAGGTTTTACAAATCAAATAAAGAAAACATAAGAGAGCTGGAGTTCATCTTTCACGATGTTAAGATGTTTATATTTTATTTGTTCGTTATTTTATTCATTTTATTCATAAGATAGCTCAAGGATCGACAAAATCCTAAGCCCCCATGTATGTCTATTCCTAATCTTCCTTTGCATTTTTCTTCTTTCAACCCAGATTCTCCTCCAGATTTTAATCATGGGCGAGGTTCTGCCCATCAAAATAAAAGTCCCCTATATCGGTCTTTGCAGTTGGGGATACTGATTCAGATTTATCTGCATGGTGCAAGCGTTACCCTCAAATGACACACGTTTTCTCTCACTCTAGGGCCAAAGGCTCATGCTGTGGTATCATTAATTGGCCCCTAGATCGGTCCACAATTGGGATCAACTCAGATCTGCTTTTCACATGCACTTTATTGGTTATCAGGTATGCATGACAATACTATTGAAGGAGGTGATGGAAATTTGAAAGATTATTGCTCGATTTAATACTCGAGTCCAAAATATGGAGTTTTGCCACCCGAGACGTTATTGGTCTCGTCATATGCTAGGATTCGCCCCAACTTGATGTTCTGTTGGTCTCTTTGACAGAACAAAGCCATTACTTATCAAGTGTTTCTGTCACGAACCCAACACATATTATTGCGGTAAGTCGATGTCTTTGTCCTATGTTTGGGCAAATCCAAAGACGCTCAATCCATTATAGCCCCGGAGGATTGTGAATATTATTATCAGAGCCGGCCCAGGCCCAGGGCGACCTGGGCGACGGCCCAGGGCCCCAACAAAAAAAGGGGCACCAATTTTACACATTACATTATATATGGATATATATGTATTATGAATGGGCCCAATAAAAATAAATATAAGCCCACTGCCCATATCCAGGAGAGAGATCTAAAGCCTACCTAAATTAAATAAAAGCATTTCCGTGCGCGTGGCCTTTGTGCTCCAATTCCAAATGCCATCAGGATTAAAAAAAAAAAAAAAAAAAATTAATAAAATCCCCATTCCCCAAATTACTAGCAACAAGAAGTCGATATTTCGTCTTCTAACTTTCCAATCTATCATTTTCCCAACGGCAAACTTCAGGCTTCATGATATTATCTTGGCTCTCATTCCAAAATTCCAATGGTAAGTTACTCAATTTTATAAATTATAAATAGCTTTTTCAATTTTTGCTTTTTTATATTCACTATGCAGCTTCAATCTGCTTCAATCAATCCTCACACATCTTGAAAATTGTCAATTTGTTACTTCCAACAATCTTAGAGTTAGAGAGTAAGATTTTTTGAATCTTTTATTTATTTTTGGAAAAATTGATCACTTTATTTTGTTATTTTCAGCAAAATATTTTTTTCTACATTTGAATCTTTTATTTTTGGGAAAAAATTGATCCGAAAATTTGTTAATTTGTTATGTTTACTTCGCCCGGCTCGGCGGCTCGCCATTTGCCACAACTCCACAACCGGGCCTAACGCCATCGCCTTCCGCTGGTGACTGGTCCGCAGTCTCCTTGCGGCTCTACCTTCACCGTGGTAATTTTGGGGCATTATTTTTATATTTGACCCAGGGCCTAATAATTTACAGGACCGGCTCTGATTATTATCTTGCGACTATAATTTACTTGTTGAGGAATCATGTGAACCCGGTTCAATAGTTCTTCACGTGTGTGGCTTTGACCTTTTCAACCGTATGACCGATTCTCTGTCGCAATTCGCAAGGAATCTTGAATTGAAGCAGTCAATACTATCCCGCATAAGCAATTAGCGATTGGATCTTTACCTCCATGGGCCATATTACGGTCAGGATTAACCATTGACTTCACACGGTGGGAGGACCTTCAAACATAATAAAATGACCATAGTATCCTACAACACCGTGAATAAAGTGTATTAATATTTGGCATATCATATATTTATATTTTCTTTAAATCATAGTTCAATCTTCAATTACTCGTAAAATCCGATTGTCTAAGGGTAGTTGGCAAAAAATGGTTAAAACCGAAGAGAAATTTTACTATTTGCTAGTAATTTTGTGAAATCAAATTAAAATCACAACCAAAAGACAACCTCAACTATGCATTATTTACTAAAATTTATAAGTAAAAGAATTAGGATGATTTCATCCTAGTTCATAATATCGTGTGTGAAGTATTTATAATAGCTCTTCATATGATAAATTTTCAATTTTTTTACATAAATTAAAAATATCATTATGTTTCATAAATATGCCATATGTAGAAAACTTCTTATGAGAAAGGGCACAATGGTCAGTTAATAATTTTAAAATTCCTACCTTGACTAGAGAAAACAGAAATATATGGTCTCAAGTCAATGAAAAAGTCAAGAACCACTGTTGGCCAGCGCATTTACAGTTCACATATAATTTCATTTTCCTTTTTCTTTCCCTTGAAAAAATGACCTAATATCCTCTGTTTTTCTCTCTCTACTCCAGCCATGGCCTCAAGATCTCATTTTTACCCCACGACCCATCTCCTCTATCTATGCTTTCTCTTCAATCACTTTTCCTGCTTCGCAACCGACACCATCTCCGCCGGAAGACCTCTCTCCGGCGACCAAACCATCGTATCCTCCGGCGGCCACTTCGAGCTGGGCTTCTTCACGCCGGGCAACTCCTCCAGATTCTACATCGGCATATGGTACAGACGGGTCCGGATACCTACCCGCGTCTGGGTCGCCAACCGGGAAGCCCCGATCCACGACCGGAGCTCCGCCCGGCTCGCAATTTCCGACGGAAATCTAGTCCTGTTCAACGGCTCGCGCTCGGTCGCCTGGTCAACCGGCCTGAACCAGACCGGCTTGAACCGGTCCGCCGCCACCGCCGTCCTCCTCGACAGCGGGAACTTGGTTCTGACAGATGGGTCCGGGTCGAATTCGTCGATTGAGCATCCTTTGTGGCAAAGCTTCGATTTTCCGACGGACACGTGGCTGCCCGGCGGTAGGCTCGCCTTCAACAAAATCACCGGACAAAAGCAGCACCTGACTTCTTGGAAAAACGCCGAGGACCCAGCTCCCGGGCTTTTCTCGCTCGAGCTCGACCCGAACGAGAGCCAATACATCATCCGGTGGAACAGGACCGAGCCGTACTGGTTCAGCGGACCCTGGAACGGCCACATTTTCAGTTTAGTCCCCGAAATGCGGCTGAATTACATCTACAACTTCAGCTACATCAACAACACAAACGAGAGCTACTTCACATACTCCCTCTACAACCCGTCCCTCATCTCGAGGTTCATCATGGATGTCTCGGGTCAGATTAAGCAGCTTTCTTGGTTCGAAGACTCAGATTGGAACTTGTTCTGGTCCCAGCCGAGACAGCAGTGCGAAGTGTATGCTTATTGTGGGGCTTTCGGTACCTGCAATCAGAATTCTCTGCCGTTTTGTAATTGTTTGCCGGGTTTCAGACATCGGTCGGATAAAGATTGGAATTTAAGGGATTATTCGGGCGGTTGTGTGAGGGAGATGAGTTTGCCGTGCGAAAATAACGGCACGAATTCGAACAGGGGAAGAGATAGATTCTTGGCGAGCCCTTACGTGACATTACCCGATAATGCCCTCTCGTTATCTATAGGTAGTGTAGCCGAATGCCAATCGGCCTGTTTGAGAAACTGTTCTTGCACGGCCTATTCGTATTCTGACACGAATGGTTGTTCGGTTTGGAATGGAGAATTGTTTAATCTCCAACAGCTCTCTGAAGGAGATGGTAACGGGCAGACGATATACATACGCCACTCTTCTTCATCGCCCCTTTTTTCCCAAAAGAACCGTACAAAACAGGCCGTTAAAATCGGTGCTATAGTCGGCTCGATTGCATTTGTATTCGCAGTGATAGCGGCTGTAATTGCGTGCAGAAAACGGAAGAAGTTTTTGGTAAAGAATTCGAAAACCGTCGATGGAACTTTAGTCGCGTTCCGGTACAAAGACCTGCAAAGCTCGACCAAGAATTTCTCGGAGAAATTAGGAGGCGGCGGTTTCGGCTCGGTTTTCAAGGGGACCCTACCCGACTCCTCTAAAATCGCCGTCAAGAAGCTCGAGAGCATAAGCCAAGGGGAGAAGCAATTCCGAACGGAGGTTAGCACCATCGGCACAATCCAACACGTGAACCTCGTAAGGCTACGCGGGTTTTGTTCGGAAGGGAGTAAAAAGAAGCTACTCGTGTACGATTACATGGAAAACGGGTCCTTAGACTCCCACCTTTTTTCCGAGTCGAAATTCTTGGATTGGAAAACGAGGTACGAAATCGCGCTCGGAATTGCCCGCGGATTGACCTATTTACACGAGTCGTGCCGCGATTGCATTATCCATTGCGACATAAAGCCCGAGAATATATTGCTCGACTCCGCGTTTTGCCCTAAAGTGGCCGATTTCGGGCTCGCCAAGCTCGTGGGCCGGGATTTTAGTCGAGTCTTGACGACTATGAGAGGGACGAGAGGCTACCTCGCGCCCGAGTGGATATCTGGCGTGGCAATCACGGCTAAAGCTGACGTGTACAGTTACGGAATGTTGCTTTTCGAGCTTTTGTCCGGGAGGAGGAACTCGGGAGGCTCGGAGAATGGGAGGTTTTTTTTTCCGGCGGTGGCTGCACGCGTGGCGGTGGAAGAAGGTGGGGATGTGTTGGGCCTATTGGACCCTAAATTGGGCCGGGAGGATTTGGACCCGAACGAGGTTTTGAAGGTTTGTAGGGTCGCGTGTTGGTGTTCGAATGATGACGAGGACGTGAGGCCGTCGATGGGGCAAGTGGTGAAGATGCTCGAAGGGGTTGCTGACGTGGGCTTGCCGGTGGTCCCGCGTTCGTTGGGTGCGTTTTTTGTGGAGGGAAGTGCGGAGGGGAGCATCGTGTTTTTTACGGACTCGTCGAGCCAGAGCTCGGGATTGACGAAGAGCAATGGCTCGAGCGGCTCGTCTGGCTCGAAGGCGGGTGGCCACGTCACCGGATGATTAGTTTGGTGATTTTTTCTTGATGTTGATTGATCAAAAGCTTGGGTCTTTCTTTTGTACTATACATACTCTCATATAGTGTTGTTGTGTGTTTGTGTTATCAAAATAACATTGACTAGGCAAGAAGTTTGAGTTTTCGAGTTTTCTTGGGTTTGATTGTTGTATGCAATTGATAAGACGGGCCATGAGATTGATTGTTATATGCATTTGCATAATGTTGCAAATTAAGAAGCAAATAGTATAGGAGTGAATTGATCCTTTGCCTCAAACAACAAGGAGAGTGTGAAGAGGAAAATGTAAAAAAAAAAATAAAAATAAAAAAATAAAATAAAAAGAAAGATCCTTTATGAATTTTCATGGAGATGTTTGTTTTTGTGATCTTATGTGGTTCAGAACTTGGTTCAAATAACAATTGAAAAAAAAAAAAATTGTAACTCCCGACTGAGTTTTAGTAAGAACGATGACTTCGTAAATTCATCTGCCACACTTTGGGGTATCATCGGAACTGAGTTGAGGGAACTCAGTAAAACTGAATTAATTGAATGTCATCTTTCGAAATCGAACATGCCAAATTTGTCTAAAATCGAATTTGAACCATACCAAAATAATCTTTTTCGGTTGGTCAACCGAAAGACTGAAATAACTAAAATAATAATAGAAATAGATACCTTTGATTTTTTTAATACTTATATTTAATTTTCTTATATTATTTTTTTCTGAAAAGAAAAATATAATATTATTTACTTAATTCAGCTCTGTTAATGCAAATATTTTATAAATAAAAGCAAAATAGAACTAAAATAATCAACATTTAAAAATAAATATTGATAACTGAGCCAACATGAAAAACTGAATCATAATTTATATTTTGCTCGGTATTCGTTTTTTTAATCTTAACAGAAATATGAACACAACTGGCTACACAATTGAGCTTGAGTTCATGGTAAGCAAGCTCTACGAGCTCGAGCTCGACTTTTTATCAATATTAATGAATCAAATTTGAGTCAAATTTTAGAAAATACTATATAATTTACTCTTTCTTAGGCTTATCGAGTCGAGTTGAACTCGATTTATTAAATGAACAAGCTTTTACGATTTCGAATTCGGTTCGTTTATCAAACGAGCCGAAATTATGAACAACTTGTTTCGTTTTAGAATTCTAAGGAAAAGAAAAAAGAAAATTGGCAGTTGGCTGACTCTTTCCTCGGTTGCATTCACTAATCATGTTTATTAATGTATAAAAATATTAATGTTAATATTAATATCTAAATATAACAATTATTGCGCTGATCTAATATAAATTTTCTTATATTATTAAATATACCTATATTATATTGCACTCGGGTGCATCATACGGGTTGAAGTACATGTGAGGAAAAACAGAGATACTATTTTATCAATTGTATAGCGTGACTGACTAAATGGACCGTTTCATTTGTTGTTTACAACTAAGAAAAAAGTAATCTCATCCTTTTCTATTATTATAAAACAAATTTTGAATTTTTTTGGAGCTCAGCAAATGTTGGACAGCTGAATATATTTAAAATAATTAGTCAAAAATTGAGTTCATATTTGATGGGCTAATGGAGAAAAACAATCAAAATGCCATATTTCCTCTAATTTGAGAAAGATCAAACATATAAATCAATTGTTTTTGAATTCCAAAATAACATCTTTCAAAACCTTTTGCATATTGTACATTTCCATCATTATTCTTAATTTGGTAATGAAACAAATAAAGTCATGAAAGGCAGATCGACACAATCAACGGCCCGTAAACGGATGCGACAAGGAGATATAAATAACCGAGCCTATTTATTGTTAAATATATTTAGAAGTGTGGCTCCAGGCCTGAAAGAAGAAAAGCCGATCGGCTAGGGCTGAATTTTGGGATGCCCAAGAGACTGCAAGAATGCTTCTTTTTTAGAACTTGCAAGCAGGGATATTATTAGGCATTTTTCCCTCGTCTTTCCCCTTCGATAGAGACCGGATTTTATAGCCATTTTTAGGGTTTTGGCAAAATGGGCCTCCCGACAGCTTAGGATGTAAGGTGGTGCCGCGTAGATTCATGCAAAAAGGTGATGGGACGCGATGGGCGGTGTTGCCAACTTTTTTCAGAACAAGCACATGTTTTCAGAGCAATCGGTGGCCACTTGCAAGCGATCGCCGTGCCGATCTGTCGATCGACAACCCTAGGGGTCTTTGGATGGGCCGTTTGAGAAGTGATCTTCCACGATCTTTGATGTAGAGCTTAATACGAAAGGGAAGAAGATGAGATTCTCTCTCGTTAAATAGAACAATATCAGTTTATTTCCATCATAATCTGCCCAATACATCGTACGCAATCCTATATAAATAAGAGAAGGGAATAAAAGACTCCTAACATGACCCTACTACTGCCAAATATTTATTTTCCTAATAAGTTTACCAAATAAAGGAAATAAAAGAGACTAATAAAAGCAATAAATAAAAAGACTAAACCCTAATACGATCATATTTATTCAAATACGCAATGGCGGTCTCGTCTTCATCATCCTCTCCCAGTTGAGGAGGATTCGCCCTCGAATCCGGACCGGTCTCGTCTTCGTCAAAATTGTCGCCCAAAAATGGAACTAAGTGCTTGACGTTGAACACATCGGACGTACGAATATGAGATGGAAGACGCAGGCGATAAGCATTCGGGTTGATCTTCTCAACCACCTCAACCGGACCAATCTTGCGGGCCGAGAGCTTATTATACTCGTGAGCCGTAAACCTATCCTTCGTCAACACGGCCCAAACAAAATCACCCACATCGAGCTCGACATGACGACGACGAAGATCCGCCCTGCGCTTGTAAGACGCCGTGGTCTCCTCCAACCGAGCCCGGGCCGCCTCGTGCGTCGCCTTGAGGTCGGAGATGAGGTCCGAAGCCCGACGATCGACCGAACCCACGGCCGGCAAGGCCAACAAGTCACACGGGCCACGAGGCCTGACCGCATAAACGATCTCAAAAGGCGACAAACCGGTAGCCCGACCAACCGCCGAGTTTTGAGCAAACTCAGCCTGGCACAACCGCTGGTCCCAGCTACGAATATTATCGCCCACGAGGCAACGAAGGAGATTGCCCAATGACCGATTCACCACCTCGGTCTGACCGTCTGTCTGCGGGTGGTATGCGCTACTAAAGTCCAGCTGA